TGTCACTTTTAATTTTATATATACATATACATGTCTTTTATATTTGTTTGAACTTTAGGCCAACACCTTTTTCTTTTGCCTAATGCTTGTGGAATGTTTGCTACTTTCAAGGATGTATATCATATGAAGCTACATTCATAGAAAGCTCTATAGCACACACCTAAAATGATGAAATAAATTGTAGCACACAGTGAGGTGAAAAGTAATGGAAATTCACATTTTCCGGGTATTGCTCCTGTATTTAAGGTGCCATGCTAGCACCTTTAAAACTAACATTTGAAATGTGTTGTTATCACTGAGAAGTTGTAAAAGTGACATGCGAACAGCTGGTGGTGACTGCTGTCATGGAAGATGAAAAGAGGAAACAGGTAGAGGGCTAGGAGTGAGCTGTTCTTGAGGCAACAGAGCTGAAAGAAAAGGGTAATTGTATAAGCAACATGTGGAAACAGTAACACCCTTTATTTTAAAAAGCTTGGACTAAAGGTGCTTGTGGTAGCTTGGTCACAAGGTCCTGTATTTATTGTAGGCTGAGAAGTAAGCTCAACTGCATTTTGAACAAGAAGCAAACGAACCTGCAGGCTAACTGAGAAGGAAGGAGAGAGCAGAGGGCATGCTGTGAGCTGCTCTCTTTGGGTGGTGAGTTTTTGGACTTTAGGTTATATACTGCAGGGCTTCAGTAAGCAGCCATGCAGTAAATGTTCCTCCAACCCTGGGTTTGTCCTTCAGTGCAGAAAGTCTTTACTCTTCTGAAAATTTATTTATTTCCACACTGTTAGCCAAGTACCAGGCAGAAGAGATTTCCTTTGTTTTACCCCAGCTCTAAGTGATTGCTTCATAAACCCAAAATAGAAGAGAATGACTCCCATAATGAGAGACTGCAGTCCATAGTAAGTACATTTTGTCAAGTTATTCTATTTTCAGAGTATATTTATAATTAAAACAGTTGGATGTTTTAAATAATTTTCATATGAAGCTAAGACATGAGTTTGACTCATTGTTAACTAAAAGTCCTTAAGCATAACATCATTGGCCAATCCCTTCTCTATATGATTCAGGTAGGTTTGAGAGTTTTAGTTTCTATTTCTTGGTTTCAGAAAATATTTCTAAGCCAGTGTGTTTCCTTCTCTAGTTTTTTTCCAAGCTTTTTGTTATTTTTACTTACATGTGTGTGAGTATGTCTGTATGAATGTATGCGGAATGAATATATTCCCACATAGGCTAGAAGAGGGCATTGGATTTCCTGGCGCTGAAGGTACAGGAGTTGTGATCTGCCCAGCATAGGTGCTGGGACTATGGCTCTTTGGCCCAGCTTGACATCTGAAGCTGAACTTTCTGTAGATACTCGTGTGTGCATGCGTGCGTGCGTGCGTGCGTGCGTGCGTGCGTGTGTGTGTGTGTGTGTGTGTGTGTGTGTGCGTGTGTATGTGCTTGGTATCAAATAAGCCAGAAAAGGAACCAAAACATAAGCTTACAAGTAGAGCAGAGCTGAGCCTAGCACTGTTTCCTTTTACAGTAGGTACATTTCCTTCTCCCAGAGACCTGAGGGTACCCTACAGTTTCATGACATATAGCAGCTTGAAAGGTTTGGAGATGACATTGAATAGCTCCCTTGCTGTGAGTTGTTGTTGCCACAGATTGGTCATCTGTTACTGGAAGGGCAGAACTCATCTTTTCTGTCAGTGAAAGAAAGTGCATCAGTCAACTCAGTGAGAATTGTCAATAACAAGAAATGCTAAGCCTAATTGCTGTCATTAGAGACAAAATAAACTGGTGTGACTGACTGGATCCCAGTATAGATACGACTCAGATATAGTTTATAAGAAATTAACCCAGCATCTTAGAAAAGGTGATTTTATTTTAAAAGTGGTATCTGTTACTATGGTATGGAGGGCACATGTTCTCCTGCACATGTATGGAGGTCAGGAGACAGTTTTGTGGAGTGGGCTCTCCCTTCTTCTCCTGACTTGGGGATTCCAAGCTCAGATTTTCTGGCTTGTGTTGTGAGTTCCGTAACCCGCTGAACCGTCTCAACTCAGCTTCCCCCCTTTAAGTATAATACTTTTTTTTTCCCTCTAAGAAAATTGCCAATCCAGGCATGGTGAACATCCAGTCTAGTTTTCAAGGGGCAGAGTGGTTCCTGTATCATGCAACTTTCAGGGATTCAGCACATGAAGTGCACAGACAAACCAGGGGGTATTGGCTGCCTTCACTGCGAACAATGAAGATCAATTGTTGCTGGTCTACTGAGTCTGTACTCTAGCAGTCAGTGACATTTCATTTGTTCTTGCCCATCTCTGAAGATCTAAAGTCTACTCATATTTCAAGATTCAGCTTAAATGCCACTTCTTAAGCAGTGAGACATGATCTCTTCCTTTTTGGAGGGCTCATACAGTGTTTTATCTGTACCATTCTTCTTTCGCTTTGAGCTTTGAAACACCTTTATCTGTTATCTGTGTACACATTTTATCTCTGACATTACATGGGAAGTTCTTTCAGTGTATGCTATTTCATTTTATCATTTATTCCCATGACTTCTTCATAGTTTTCCTCACTTTATCAGAGATGATTTATTACAAGGGATTGTGAATCTTCAGTTGAAACAGATTATATCAGTAGTACGAGATATACCAATATGCGATGCCTGGAAAACACTAATAATAGGACTCAGAAAGTCTAGCTTTTCTTCCTCTCTGCCACTGTGTGATTTGTGAATGATTCCTTTCATAGTGTTCATTTCTGTGTATGGATGCTATACTTCCTTAAGGTAGAAGTAGAGAATTTCAGCTAACTTCCAAGTGGTACCTAACTATGCTTTTATTCACATTAACTTTCTCATACAGTGTGTCTAAGAACCAGTTCAAACTTTTCTTTTCTCTTGTCTGCTATACCTTGCGACCCATTTTCTGTTTTTGGCTGGTACTCACAGTTCTTACTTCACAAAGGAAATCTGAGCTGAAAAGGGAAACCCATGAGTTCCCACAAGCTTTGTTCAGCTGTCTCTATAGACTTCTCCATCATGATCTCAACATGCCTTGCTCACATGTTGCCTCCTCCCTCTCTTCATCTGGATTCCTGGAGCTTGGCCTGGTGCTTGGTTGTGGTTCTCTGCATCTGGTTCTATCAATAACTGGATGAAGGCACTATGATGATAGTTGGGGTATTCACCAACCTTTTTACAAGGGTAGGTGTGTTCAGGCATCCTTTCCTATTGCTAGGAGTCTTAGCTGGGATCATCCTTGTGGATTCTTGGGAATTACTCTATAGCAAGTTTCTTCCTAACCCCATAGTGGCTCTCTCTATTAAGATAACTCTTTTGTTGATAGCTGTGGAGTCTCTAGGGGAACAAACTTGGCCCTCTGTATGTGGGAGATAGTTGTGAAGCTTGGACTATCAGAGGGGTCCCTGGCAGTAGAATCACAGTACAAACCTGGTACGTGAACTGGCTTTTTGGAGCCCACTCCCTATGGTGGGATGCCATGCTCAGTCTTAATGCGTGGGGGATGGGCTTGGCCTTACCCCAACCTATTGTTCCAGACTTTGTTGACTCCTCATGGGAGCCCTTACCTGTGAGGAGAAGTGAACTGGGGGTAGACTGAGGGGTGGGAGGAGGGTTGGGAGGGAGAACTGTGGTTGGAATGTAAAATGAAATTTAGAAGAATAAATAAATTATGAAAAAAGGGAAACCAATTCATTCAACCCTAATGTACTGTTATTCAGTAAAAAGCTGAGTATGGTCTGCTGAAAGATTGTAAGTATGTTACTGAGTACTGGACCCAGAAGCAAGTATTCTACCACTGAGATATTTATATTTTAGCCCTTAAAGACTTTAAAACTTTATTAATTGAAAACTTCATACATCTATAGAATGTATTTTCATCTTATCCATCTACACTTCCTCCCTCCAATTTTCTCAAGTGCCCCTATCCTTCTCAACATCATGTCTTCTTTTTATTATTGCAAACAATAACCCCTTGAGTCGAGTCAGTGCTGCCTGTGTGTGCATGGGTGTGAGGGTATCTGCTCAGGCATAGAGACCCTCTACCAGCCACCATGTTTCCACAAAAGAGTGACTGTTCCTCAGAAGCCATCTACTGTCAATAGTTCCTCCACTAAGGATGGGCTTCTTCCCCCATCCATGCTGTAATTTTGATCTTGGGAAGGTCTTGTGCAAGTAATCACAGCTGCTGTGAAATGGTGTATAAATAACCATGCTGTCTGGAAGTCAGCACATAATACAGGGCTTACCAAAAGATTTCAACATGCATGTCAGGAAGGAATACAGAGTATAATTACATATACTTATCATTTAGAATTTTATATAAGCATCGCATGATGAAACATCATATTTTAGAACACGTTTTAATGATTTATAGCTTTTTATGTTTTGTTCATTTTTCTTGTTTTGCACTAAAGAATGAATCATTTTGTGTACTCCTTGGTTTCATTTTCTTTCAGAGACAGGATCTTATGTAGCTTAGGCTGGCCTTGAACTTGATATTTATATCCATAGATGAATTTGATATCCTAATCCTTGACCGGGCATTGCTGGCACCCACCTTTAATCCCAGCACTCGGGAGGCAGAGGCAGGCAGATCTCTGTGAGTTTGAGGCCAACCTGATCTACAGAGTGGGTTCCAGGACAGACTCCAAAGCAATACAGTGAAACTCTGTCTCAAAAAACAAAACAAAACAAAACAAAACAAAAACAAAAAAAACAACAAGTCCTAATCCTCCTGCCTCTGCCTTCCTGATACTGCTATGTATGTGCCCCACCACTCTCAGGTTTTAAATAATTCTTATAGGATCAAAGTTTCTGTAAAAAGTTTTCTGTTAGTTTCTTTGAAAATGTAAGTGACAGCTCCTAAAAGAATAAATTCATCAGTGTTTTCAAAATTCACATTAAAATATGTAAAAATATTGCTTTCATCAATTTTCAATTAACATGTGATTATTATGCAGATTTTATACATTTTTATAACTCCCTTTTCTATTGTTGTTAGCTAATGATGCAAATGTGAAGAATGAAAGTCTCTCATCTGTACAGCAACTTGGCATTAAAATGACTGTTAGGTATGTAGAAAAATGTCTCTCCTATGCATTCCTTGAATTCATCTACCTGCTGTGTGCTTAATAATATTTAACAACTATTTTGTGTACTTTAAATGCAGAGTTCACCACTCAGAAAATAATAACATTATCTTTGAGGATATTGGCACATGATTAAATTATCTCTGGCTATAAATCAGTTACAGTTCATTATTATTCCAAAAGCTTATTAGTGTGTTCCTCTATGACTATCAGGTTTTCCCCACCCCACCCCAAAAATCAGCTTTGCAAAAATCAGTATGTTATGGCATAATTGTACATATTCTAAAACATGATTTTTTCTAGTTGTCAAATTCCAGTAAAGACAAATATACCTTAAGGATAGATTGAGAAGTTCATATTAATAAACCAAAATTATCATAGTTTGAGTTTTTAGAACTCATATATTAATTTTCAAAAGAAGTGAGTACACTAGATCATGAACTGGATAATAACCTTCTTTTTGTGTTCTTAACAGACTTCTTTCAATATGAGGTTCTTAATAGTCCCATTTTAATTAGAGGGTCATCGTTTGAATCATATCTAGGAAGGCACATGTGAGATCTATTAAACACTTGAGTCTTATAAAAATGCCCATTGTGATAAAAATTGTGGCATAGATTCTAGATCATCCACCTCTACCAGAATAACTGTACTGATTATGGTATGTGACTCTGTATTCATGTTTTAATAAAAGTATGCTGTAATGCTCCATTTTCAATGAAATGGAACCTATAGAGTACATATGCAGTCTGGTCACACATTTTAACTTGATATAATTTCTTATTCATAGAAAGCAAATGGAAAATACTTCATACTGTAGAGTTTGGATAGACTGTGGTATGGTGCAGCTACCCTCCTGTTGAGTCATTGAGATAGCAGCAGCAACAAAAACACTAAATGCGTTAGCAGGGTTGCCACTAACCAGGAGACTTCCTAAGTCTTAGACCAAGTAAGGTCTTAGGAAATTGAACAAATGCACTGTTTTCCCTTGATTACAACACACATATTCAGTGTGTCTACAATATAGGAACTTAGATAAAGCTAAATTAGTTTCACCTAACTAGAAATAGCTGTTTGATCCATGTAAATGCCAAGCCATTTTAAGTTATGGTCCAGGTGTGTCCTAGTCACAATCCCAAATGTCCAAACCCTTCTCGATATCCAGTATTTGTAGATGACCTCCACAGGTACTTCTTGACTTAATATTCCATAAACCTAAGCTCAGTAATCTGTGTTTTTGATTAATTTCAGACAAATTTCTTACATTCTTCTTCTCATCTCATTACTGTTTCACCATCCTAGAGCGTTAACAGTTAATGTTGCTGGTGCAAACGTGTTGTAACTCTCAAGAGTGAATATTGAGTGCCTTGCTTAGGGTCGTCATCCTAGAAGTAGAGTCTTGAAAGCATCAGACCTTGAGATCTCAAGAGAAATACAGTTTGATGGATGTGTAAAGATGAATGTGCAGTGAAGATCCTGATAGTTTTTATTCTCTGCGTTTTGTTGTTGTCGTTTTTTGTTTTGGCCTTCAACATAGGTATGGCAAGTTTCTCAACTTGTTAAAAGATGGTGCAGAAAATGATCTCGCCTTGGTCTTAAAACACTGCGAAAGATTCCTGAAACAACAGCAGTCACCAGTAACTTCTTCTCTTCATATCCTTTCTGAGTGGATTCATGCAGAACTGAATTGCCTTCCTATATTTCCCATAGTTTGTCTGTAAGAGTGTTAACATATCTGCAATAAGCAATAGCTAGTGTGTGAGTTCTCACAGTGTATCTCTATAGGATTTTATTCTTTGTTTTGAACACACATTTTATTAAATAATCCTTAGACTCAGTTGTACTCAGACAATCTTATACTGAGTGAAGTGATTTACTATATACAATTAATATCTCTTTCCAGATAGAGACCCTAAAAGTGAGTATTTATGAAACTGTTTATCTTCTAAGATAATGTGAACGTTCCTTAACTCTTCTGCAGTGTGCCTGCAAGGGAACTACACAGGCCACGACTGGTTTGTGTCTTCTCTGTTCCTCATAATGCTGGGGGATAGAGAGAAGACGTTCCAGTTTCTCCAGCATTTCTCCAGGCTCCTGACCTCTGCTTTCCTTTGGGTACCAAGGCTGCACATTTCTGTAAGACTTAAAAATCTGTTTTTAAAGGAGATTTGAACTTAAGAAACACCTTATTTAACTTTATTAGAGTATTATCTTATATATATATGTATATATATATCCTTAATAATTCTTATTCACTTTCCTACCTAAATATAATTATATGACTTTTATCAGCTCTGTTCTTTGACAGTCTCACACATGTATATAATGTATTATGAGTGCTCTCAACTCCTCCCATCTCATGTCTTCCTTCCATCCCTGTAAACTCATCCCTTCTTTCCTTTAAGTTCCTCCCCCAGATTCATAGTCTTGTTTTGTTTTGTGACATGCTAGTTTAGCTAGGGGCATCTGTGTGCCCATGGGTTTGAAGTTATTCATTGCTCATACAATTGGAAAATAACCGTCTTTCCCTAGAACCCATTAGTAGTCAGTAGTCCAGCATGGGCAGGTAGGGGCCTGTAAGTCCCTTCCCTATCCTTGATTGAGTTTTGATAGGCCTGGTGTTGTATGGGCCTAATGAAGGCAATCACAGATTCTGTGAGATGTTGATGTCAGTGTCTGTGTCATACACAGAAAATAGCATTTTACAGCCATCATCTCTGTTTCTGGCTCTTTAAGCCCCGTCTTCGGTAATACTGCCTGAACTTTAGAGAGGACAGGATAAGTGTTCTCTTAGCGTTAACCACTCAGTCATCACTTAATTCTCTATGTGGTAAGTAGCTATAAAATCTCTATTAACCATCCACTGCAAAGAAGAGATTCTCAGGTTAAGGCTGAAATACTATTAACAATAATATTTTTATGGGCATAAACATAAATATTTAGAAATCAGTTTGGCACAAATTTGACTAAACGGTAGTTGTAAATTACTCTTAGGGATAGTACCGGGTTTGAATACTCTCAAGCGGAGCAGGCCTTGAACACACTCAGGGAATCACTGGCTACCCTTGTAACAGTTGTGCCACTATGGCCCTTTGGGCACATCTTGCCTGACAGGTTAGTATTAGGTTTTGTAGAGTTTCTGCATGGGTAAGACTAGATGTCTTTTATCCTCCAGCAGCCCACGTAACACTTTCCCGGAATATGAAAAGCAACGTCCTTGAGCATTCTTGTGTTATTAGTTCTTTTGAATTTTATGTTTTAAATGTCAACTAAGTTGTTCTTATTTTGAACCATCTTTACGGTGTAACATTTTGAAAGGATACACTCTCTTGGCCTTCATGCTGTTTGTGTTTTCGTGAGACCTGTGCCTGGAGTTAGGTTATTGGTTGTATTTTTGATATGAGTTTCTGGCTCACCTGTGGGGAGTAAGCATTTGATCTGTATTGACTGTTACTGTGTCTTGGAAGGTTTTAGAACAGTTAGGAACTACTTATAGCCACTTGGTGCTGACTCATGTGTGGAATTACTAATGTGACTCTCATCCAGCAAGATCATCGCTTCCAACGTCACCAGCAGGTTCTCCTGGGGGTGAGTAGGTAATCAGCAAGTATCCTGATTGAGCAGGATTAAGGCACCAATAAGTAAATCTATAAAGTCACTTCATGTGGTGCAAGCAGATGCTCCAATACATATCTCTAAATGGAGATGGGGCTGAGGGAAAGCTGATGATTTGAGGGGATCTTAAATTGTCCCCGCAGAGCTAGTAGGTAATTGATGCAGGTCTTCAGATGGTGGGATTGGAATGCCCTATGAGGAGAAAGCAGAAGGCTTGATTGACAGTGCGGGAGGTAGTGTAGTTTGGTTGCTCAAAGGAGGAGGAGGAATGAGAGGCCTTACCAACAAAATGTGAGGGTTGTGGAGCTTCCACATATGGACATGGAGACCCTGCATAGGTAGAGGAGGGTTGTAGTTCAGAGTCGGAGGCCTATACTGGGGAAGAGCCCACAGAGTCCTGGGATGGATGGCCTGAATGCTTTTCTATGGCTTCTTTTTGAAAGTATAGACTTGACCTTTTCTCTTACAAAATGGTAACAGAGTGAGAGATATTTAATCATAGAAGAATTTTCATGAAATAGAAATAAGACAGTGAGTTAAGTCTAATAATTAAGTAATTATTATTCATTGTTTAGTGATAAATAATGGACATAAAGGTTTTGAATATGTTTTAGTGTTGCTTTGTAAGACGATCTTGATTGTTAGGCTATAGTATAAGAAAATCATTTCCTAAATAGAAATTACAATCATATTTTGTAGAAGAGAAAACCTGTATGTATACATTTTAGAAATCTACACTGAGGACTTACTGATATGTTTAGTGTTATTATTATAATTATTATTGTCATTCGTTTTTTATGGTACTGGGGCTTTAACTCTAGATATGTGCAAACCAGGAAAGTACTCTGCCACTGAGCTATTAATATCCCCAGGCCTTTGAAGTATTACATTTTGAAAGAACTTGCTATTCTTATGAGATCTCAGAGATTACATTAGAGAAGCACATTACTCTGTTTTTTGTTTATTTATTGTGTTTTGTTAAGATCTTCAACTGGGAGAAAATAAATAGGCATCAATTCTGATAAACTTCCTGGTAATTTCTCATGACATCGTGATAAAGAAATAATATGCAAGCAAGGGCAAGCTAAGAGGTATCCTTATGAAGTTAGATGGAAGCACTTACTAATTGTCTTTTACTATGTGTGAGTACGTGTATTTTACATATGTACATGTGTAAATTATGTATTCATTTATGTACATCTCTATACAGATCTCACATATATATGCACTGTGTAATAATGAAAATAAAATCAGAGTCTTATGAAATGAATACTGAAATTTAAATTTTGTTTGCTTGAGACATTGTCAGGCAGTTAGTATTCTACACAATGATAAGAATTTATTCACATCAACAGCAGTAGGAAATAATAAATATCTACTTTTTTTACTGCAGTCTATGAAACTCTTTTCTTACTGTTGCTATTTATTAGAGCAACTCTGTCCCTGTAAATTATAATTGAAAATTTTTAAAATCTTACATTTCTACTCTTCTATTTCAAAATATAATTTCCAAAATATTCTGTTAATGGTTTTTGAATTCAATAATTTATTTTCTTGTCAAACATTTTAAATGTTTACCTGTGTGTGTGAGAGAGAGAGACAGAGAGACAGAGACACAGAGAGAGAGAGAGAGAGAGAGAGAGAGAGAGAGAGAGAGAGAGAGAGAGAGAGAGAGAGAGAGAGAAAGGGAGAGAGGAGAGAGAGTTGGGGGGAGCAGGAGAGACCAGCAAGCCTGTGTGTGAACACACCTGTGCATGGGCACACAGCGGACAGCTCTTAGAGGTCAATTCTTGTCTCCCACCTTGTTGAAGCAGGGTCTCTTGTTTCTACTGTTGTCTGCATACTTCAGTACTTCAGGCTAGCACCTGTGATGTTCTGGGATATTTTTCAGTGTCTGCCTCTTTCATTTCAATAGTGCTAGAACTAGGATGCAATTATCTGGCTTTTGAAACATGGATTCTAGGGCTCAGACTGGGTATCAACAGGCTTATGTGGCTAGTATTTTGCCTGCTGTGCCATCTTCCAGTATTTTATACCACATATTTTAAAGTAATAATTGCATTTTATTTGCTACATCTAACTATCACTGTTTTTTTCGTTTTATTTATTTCAAATTGTGTTCACCTGTGTGTATCTGTTTGCATGTATGTGCACCTTTTTGCAATAAATGGTGGTTAGTGAAGAGACTCATGGCTGCTTATCGTGCAGAGAATAAATGATGGCTGAGTGGTTAACCCCAAGCAGGACATTGGTGCTACTTCCCTCTGAGGCTTGGGAAAGTTCATGTTACAGCAGGTAGAAATAACAGAAGAGCCAAGAGACAAAAAGAAGGGCATACAGTCTTCTGTCCAGGACAGTAATTGATGCCAGATCTCACAACAGATGGCGCTGTTTTCTACCGGGCCTGCACAAGAATGGACTGATGGTCAGTCAACCGTGGATCAGGGAGGAGTTCTCCGGGCCACTACTTCTCCCAGCTAAGCTATTGGCTATGAACGGATTCTAAGGAAGGGGCAATCATGGTCTTCAGTTGCTTGCGCATTATTAGGTCCACAGGTTCCAAACTCATGGTCACGCAGACTGCCCTGGTTTTAAATTCAGTATGTCACAAACCAAAATGAGGTTGTGAATATAGAAAAGGGACTCACAGGAAAAACAGGGCTGACAGTTATGAGAGGAGACAGGAAAGGATGTAAGGCGAGAGTAACACACACAGTACATATAACACCATCAAGGAAATTATTTAATAAATATTGTGATCTAAAGAATTGTCATCCTGTTCCACCAATTGCACTTTTGCTCTCATTGCTACATTCCAGTTTTTACTTTTTCCCACAGTGTTTATCACCTGCTAATACATTATTTACTTCATGTTATATCCCTCATCTGTATACTTTGTTACTAGCCCTAGGAAGACAGTTTTCTGTTTTGTTCACTGATATAGCCCCCATTGTTCATAAACTAGAGCCTTTGAAAACTACTCCATAAACATATTGTGAATTAATATTTAAATTGGAACATGTTTGGAACAGTGGGCTTTTGTTACTTTGAAAAAAAGTTACTGAATAAAAAGTTTGATTTCTTGCCTTCTTTTTTTTTTTTTTTTTTTTTTTTTTGGTTTTACGAGACAGGGTTTCTCTGTAGTTTTGGAGGCTGTCGGTCCAGCCCGGCCTCAAACTCACAGAGATCCGCCTGCCTCTGCCTCCTGATTTCTTGCCTTCTTAAGAATGTTACAGCCAGGCTTGGTGATACACACCTTTAATTCCAGCACTTGAAAGGCAGGGGTAGGTGAATCTCTGTGAGTTCCAGGCTAGCCTGGTCTACAAACCAAGTTCCAAGACAGCCAGAGCTACACAGAGAAAACCTATCTCAATCCCCCTGAAAAAAAAAACAAACAAAAATGTTATAAACAAAAAAGTTTTTAAAAAAATAAGCCTAATATAAGCAAAATAAAAAATGAAACTTAATTGTCAATGAAAACATTAGTAAACGCTCAGAATTTTATAAAGAGTAACTATACTAGTTATTAGTTTAAAGTACTTTAAAAATTTTAGCCTTTGATCTTATTTAGACTAGAAGAATCCTTTAATTGATTAAATTATCTTCCAGTGTTATAAGCCAAGACAGTGCTGGAGAAACCAGCAGAAACAGTTGACCTTACCTAGTTAGAGCACGGAGACCCTAGTTGTAAAGCTGGGGAACTAGCATTGGACTGAACCAAGCCCTCTGAATGTGGGTGCCAGCTAGGAGGCCGAGGCAGTCTATGGGACCTCTGACAGTAGAGCCAGTGATTATCCCTAGTGCACAAATGGACTTTGGGAGCCCATTCCCTATGGAGGGATACTATTGCATCCCAGATACTGGAAGGAGGGCCTGGGCGCCTCCCCCAAATAATGTGATGGACTTTGATGATCCCCCGTGGAGGGCCTCACTATCCCAGGGGAGTGGGTGGGTTGGGGAATTGGTGGGGAACATTGGAGGGTGGGAGGGTGAGGGGATGGGGGGACTGATATGTAAAAAAAAATTTAAAAAAGAAAAACTTTAAATCATAATAAAATAATTCTTAGGGGAATTTCTTAGGAAACAAGCTAAATATTATTCATGCTGCTTCTGTTAATAGAAGTTATGAGAAGGACAACAAATCAACTGAATCAGAAGTATTAACTTATGTGCATTTACAAACATAACTCCACTGATGTTAAAGCAGTACTTAGATGAAGTGGTACAGTTCAGCAGGAACATACTGCACAGCTGCTATATAATATAACATTACCTCAGATAAAGTGGTACGGTCCAAGCAGAAGGTGGTAGGCAGCAGCTGTATACTATACACGGGCTTCGTTTGTTCCTGTTAAATACTTAGTGTTGAAAAAAAGTTAAGTTAAAATGCTAATGTAACGTAAACACATCTACAATGCCAAGCATATTGTGAGAATGTACCTATAAGCCATTTGTGGGGCAACTGCCAAAGTAAGCCATACAAAACACATTTGCATGTATATTAATGTCAATATTCTACATAATTGAAGATTCCACTTCCTATTCTCCTAAGAGGAGACATGTTTATTTTTTATGATATCATATCATCAAAGTTTTGAGGAATCCTTAAATTTTCCACTTCGTGCAAATTAACAGACAGTATTGCAGCAAAGCCTGGCTGACCTCTACCTGTGGAGACTCAGGTAAGGAGTGGAAGGAACTGCATTGGATTAGTCTGTGTTGGGTTGGAAAGCTTCAAACCCTTTTAGTACAGCCTTTGTACTTCCCATTGCAACACAAAACTCAATTTTTCATAGTTCCAGGAGTAAATTGATTCATGAGAAATACTTAAGGTGAAAGTCAAAAACTCAGACTGCTCCTCTCCAGTTTTAATTGTCTATCTTTTGTTTTAACCACTAGCATATTGTAAAGGGAAGCCTTCCGGCTAGCCTGTTCCAAAGCCGCATCAGTCCCAAATGAACACACAGGAGGCTATATTAATTATGAAGCTGTTGGCCTTGATTGCTTCTTACTGGCTAGCTCTGAATTAAGTATTTACCCCATAATTTGTTAATCTAAGTATTTCTCTTACCAGAGCAAAGTTCCGGACATCTTATTTCTCTGGCGGGCTACATCTTGACTTTACTTGTGTTTCTCCTACCCAGAGTCCTCCTCGACTCCTAGTCCCACCTATCTTGCTTCTCTATTGGCCAACAGTGCTTTATTGACATATACACAGGACTTCCCCCATCAGCATATAATATTCTAAAGTTATTTTATAAGGTCTTTGTTTCATATCCTATCATATTCTAGTATCTTCTAAGCCATTGGTTTGCTGACTTTATTTTGTTAATTAGCCTAGTTCCTATACTTATATGACATTAAATGACATTAATCTTTGTGTGCTCTGAATATGAATGTGTTGATATTATTTCAGGGTGTTATAGTTGAACAAAATATATAAAATTCTAAAAGTGTAAATTATAGTTTGTTGTTGCTTCGGCTTTATGAGTACCATTTACTATAGATTAGAGTGATGATATGCAAATAACAGACAAGCTAGAAGATGTTAATTGTAAGGAAAGTGAGTTTACTGTAATAACAACTATAGTCATTAGACTCTTGCTATTTTGTTCATATTACATGTGGCAAGTTTGGTTTCAGGAACTGATTGGTCATCAAAAGTGTGACTTGAAAAAGTTCTTTTGATTTATGAGAATAGGGGAACTCTTGCCTTATCTTTGGGATTCCATTACATGATAATGGCTTGTTTTCTTTGACAGCATAATTAATGTCTACTGTCTTTATCTCTTCATAGACTTGTTCTAAAGGTATTTCTGCCACAGCATAGAATAGTGCTGTTTAAAAATTAGGTTCAGTACATTCTATTCTTAAATTGCCTCTGTACATACTGTAGAACATTAGTAGATTCACATTGAAAAAATAAATGTGTAAGTTAATTTTTGCTTTTAATGTTTGCCAGATTTATTCATTATATAAATAGTGAGTGAACCACATTTTGTGTTTGACAAGCAGTAAATCAGTGGCTATTAATTCATACTGTGCATTATATTGAAGTACCTAATAGAAAGCGTTCTCCTTGTTCTCTATATAAAAGTGACCTAAGTTGTCCACTTAAAGTATAATGTCTTCATCAATATTTAAGCATTTTTATGTACAGTATCTCCTAGAGAACCTGTGATAAAACACACAATATTTACACTGATTTATCCCTGAAACTATAAATTTCTGCAATTTGACTGGTAAGTGATAAAAAATGAAAATCACTGTTAAACCCATGTAGTGATTTCAGAAACTTCATTACATAAACCTAACTAAATGCTCACATCATAACAAGTCCAAAGTGGTGTCAACATATTTTAACCCTTATGTAATTTTAGGAGGTTTTTTTTATCATTTTTTATTTTAATTTTAAATAGCTTGTTTTACATGTCAATCCCAGTTCCCTCCCCCTCCCCTCCTCCCGCACTCCCCTTCCCCCCCACCCTCCCACCATATTGCCAAATCCTTAGAAGTTTTTTATAAAAGCAAGAATTTTATTTTTAAATATTTAGATAAGATTTTGTGAAAAAAGAGTTGAAATATAAGGTAAAATTAAGACAATAAATAACTTTTGGACTAGCTGTTAATTATGTAGTCTTCTAGGCTGAGTGTCAACTTGGTCTAATTGTTATGAAAATAGTTTTCCTGGCACCATTACATCTTTGAGTTTTGTATTCTTTGCTACAAATGATGATTCTTTGCTGATATTAAATTTATAATCTTAACAAATGAAATATCCTCAACCATTCATAAATATAAATTGCACCTGAGAATTAATTTTTTTAAGTCGAAGCTGAGAATTGAGCTTCACTCTTTCTGTGTGTTAGGTCAGAGATCTACTCTGTATTACATTCCCAAGCCTAAGAACTAGACTTGTAGAATGTTCAACTTTGTAAGCACACTGCTGAAAACCTGTTTGTGTATATATGGAAATGTGTGTATGTGTATGTATATACATATACATATTCATGCACAATTTTGTATATATATATATATATGATTTCATGAGAATTGGTGATAGAAAACCTTTGTGTAAACATTATACCCTTCAATGAGCTTAGAAGTAAGTTTATTGTGGAATTCTCAGTTTGTGTTCTAATTAATCCAAGTCCAGCTATGAGTTAAAGTCAACAAAGGAAATAAAACTAGGCAAGCAATCTTAAGAGCTGACTAAATCTTTTTAACATGGGCTTATTGATGGAGACCAGCACTATTAATTATGTATTCTGAATATTAGCATGGCTAATATGCGAAACTTACTACTCACATGTGTATTATTCATTTTTTTCACGCAACCCTTTGCAACCACAAGCTTTGAAGTTTCCTGAATTACAAGCTATTCCTTATTCCTCTGTTTTGGAAAGATATATAACCTTACTCTTATTGAGGTTTATTACTCTACAATGTTAAACTTTCTGACATTACATATTTATAGTAATTGTTGTAGTATGTGACATCACCACATAAATTTGGTTTTCAAATATTAATCATTTTCTTGAGGCAGGGTCTCATGTAGCCTTGGTTAACTTCAAACTCTCTGTGTATCCTAGGATAACCTTAAAGTTCTGATACTTGTTGATTTACAGGTTTGAATCCCTCTCACCTGGTTTATGTTGTGCTGGCTATCAAACTCTGGGTTTTGTGCATTTGAGGCAAGCATGCTGTCAGCTGACTTGTATCTGTCATATAAATTTGAAAGCAGCAAAACATGGCTTAAGCAGAAAGACTCAGCTAAGTGATATGTTTGATTATTATAAACCATCCATGTGTTTACTGTTTTCCACTTTGCTTTCATGCAGAAGTACCTTCCTGTTGATACCATTGAGACCGGCATCCATCCTGTATATTTTTGCAGCGCACACTACGTTGAAATGCTACTGAAGGCCGAGGTGCCACTTGTGTTTTCAGCTTTCCACATGTCTGGTTTTGCTCCATCACAGGTAATCCAATGGGGAGCACCAATTCTTCAACTCCCAGATCTCTGACTTTACAGAAAATTACTTCCCCTAGAATATAGGAAATATATTAAAATTTTATAAAGTCATTTACTTATACTAATTAGATTATATTTACTTATATACATTAATCTTTTCCCCAACTTTTAATTAACCTTCTATATCTCTTCATTTTTATTAAATTATCCAGTTATTCTAAGTCTATATTATAATTTAATTATATTAAATCTAAATTGCAATTGTTTTATATTATATATTATACATATATATATGTTTTTAGTATTTTATGAATTATTTTATATTTAAAAAATGCTCAGACATTTTATCAGGTAATAATTGCCAAAGATTAACCATTATCACTTTTGAAAAAGTTTTCTATTCTTGGCTTATCTTTACTTTCATTTCTTGACTCATATTTGAAGTTAACCAAGTAAAATTATGCCAGCTTTCTTTTTGGTAAGCATTAACTTAATCAGTGGTTTATTTGGATCCTTCTTCTGGCAAATGGGTAGCTTCTATCATTGTAAACTGCACTTTCATTCCCTTGTGTTTACTAGATAGTAGCTCTTCTTTTTTTTCACTTTTCTTTTTTTATTTAAATTAGAAACAAGCTTGTTTTACATGTCAATCCCAGTTCCCTCTTCCTCCCCTCCTTCCCTGCCCCCCCCACCCCATCCCCATTTTGCTCCCCAGGAAGGGTGGGGCCTTCCATGGGGGATTTTTAAAGTCTGCCACATCATTTGGATCAGGGCCAAGACCCTCTCCCATGTGTCTAGGCTGAGAGAGTATCCCTCTATGTGGAATGGGCTCCCAAAGTCCAAGCATATACTAGGGATAAATACTGATCCACTACTAGAGGCCCCATAGACTGCCCAGGCCTCCTAACTGACATTCAGGGGGTCTAGGTGGTCCTATGCTGGTTTCCCAGCTATCAGTCTGCGACCCATGAGCTCCACCTTGTTTAGGTCAGCTGTTTCTGTGGATTTCTCTAGCCTGGTCTTGACCCCTTTGCTCATCACTCTTCCCTCTCTGCAACTGGATTCCAGGAGTTCAGTTCAGTGTTTAGCTGTGGTGTCTGTGTCTGCCTCTGCTTCCATCAGTGTTTAGCTGTGGGTGTCTGCTTCTGCTGACAGTAGCTCTTCTTGATGTGATATATGCTTTTGTACTTAACCTTGATGAAGAATCACATCATTCATTTCATGTACTTATGTGAGATACTCTGCTTGCTGTTAGGTTTTGTGAAGTTCTTAAGAAATTTAAATATAACCCAAACTTCTATAAGTGGGAAGGAATTATTCTTTGTAACCATTTGCTTTAACTTTGAATTACAGTAATTTTAGTTCTGTTTGTAGGAAGTTGCCTAAAAAGCACAATATATTTACTATAACTTATAAGTTGATGCTTTCATATCTTCTAAAAGTCTGTGCTGAGGGCAATGTTCCTAAGAGTTACTGACCTACTATTGACTGGTAGGCTGGGTTTATTCAATGCATCTGACCATTTTTAGTCCCTAATATATGTACTTCAGTTTAGAAATGAATAACCTAAGATTGTGAGGGCATTTATAATATCTCAGGCCCTATTTATCAATTTAATGTTTAAAAGAAAAATATTCATTCATCATTTATTAAGTCTGATATATGTGCATCAGAATAAAACTACAAACACCCTAGCATGGAAGCTCACATTCACAATCCTAGTCCTTTGAGAGTGTGAGGCAGCAGGGTTGCCATGAGTTTGAGATCAGCCTGTGGGATACATAGTGAGCTCCAGGCCAGTCTGGGTTACAATCTGAGACCCTGTCTCAGAAATAAACAAGCAATCAAAACAAAACCAGAAAAGAAGTATTTATTTAATAAGGTATTATTTCTAATCAGTGATATTATTCTTTTTAATAATATAGAAAGCTTTTCTGCAGCCCTGGATAGGAGCTAATTAAGTGCCCATCACTGGTTTGCTGATTATTTACCACTTTATTGCTAATTATAAAACATAAAAACAGGTGTAAGTAACTTAATAGGTATTCATGATTAAGTCGTTATTTGGGTATCAATTTTGTATTTCAAAGCTTACTCATTTTGATCTAATTAGGAGCAGTGCTGTTTGAAGCTGTGTATTTTTAGGCACAAGGGGGTTGACTAGTTAGTGAAGGATTTGTGGGAAGGTTGCTAAATGAAACACACAGTTCTCCAGAGTAAATATAATAGACTCAGCTAGAGTACACCAAACTAAATGGGGTTAGAAAAGCGCATTTGCTGATCGGAATTTCTTTTAAGAGTAACTTCAACTGGAAAGAAAACAGAAAGGCGAATTTACGTTCTCTCTTTAAGCAAACAATGTAAAATCACATTTCAGTTAACTCTCCAGCAGGTTACCCTTTGCTACCAAACTTATCTTACTGCATTTTCTGCCCATTTGGGTATATAAAGCACCATGTATCTTTCATGATGCATCTCTTACTCCTTGGGGACACCATCCTGCTTAGCATTGATTTTTTTACACAGGACTGTGTCAGAAAGCAGGCTAACTTGACTGCATAGAGTGCATGAAACTCCATTTGGTGTTTATCATCATCATCATCATCATAATCATCATCATCATCATCATCATCATTTGCTCCTTTCCAATTTCATTATGGAAACAAGACTCCAGAAAACTCTCTCATGTTTTATGACACAGTACTTTTTGGAAATGTAAAATTGTGCAGTGAAACCAGATCTTTAGATGTACAACAAAAATCATGTAATATTTGTAGTCATTGTTTGTGCTTGAGGACGTGTGTGTAACTTTCATCATGTGACTAATGGAGTAATGCAGGAGTGCTGGAATGAATGCGCTCACTGTATTGAAGGTCTACCTATGTAATCCAGACTAGTCTTAAACTTGAAGCAATCCTCCCACCTCAGCTGAGATTTTTAGCTTGATGTTACCATGTCTGTCTTTAAGACCACTTTGATTCTTCAGCTATTTTTTCCTTTTTACTAATTTTGTTGTGTGTAGTGAAAACAAATAATGCAAGGCCTGAAGAGTTGCTAGAACATAATGTCTTTGAATAAAATAGCCGATCATTTAGAAATCATACTTATTTTCACTTCAATAGATACCTGCAATCAATTGATTTGACTTCAATGTTTTTGATTCCTTTATTTTTCTTACAATCTAGATACCAGAAGAGATAATTGACTTCATATAAAATAATATTGTATTGCATGTTAATGCCATTTGGCATAAACTTAAGTGTGGTTGAATCAAAAATTTTAGAAAACTATAATACAGTTTGCACATTATATGAGTGATCTTACCTCTTTATGCTCCTGAATGATACTTAAACATGTGACTACCTGGTAATATAATTACAGACTTAAAATTTCATATACCATATGGTTAGCATTACTTAAAAAGGCATTATGATCATAGGATGAGATTTTTTAAAATGTGCTCTTAATGACTGGAATTCAAAGTTCAGAAGTTGACATCATAATACATAGAAAGCAAAAATTCAGTAATGCGGTCTGGTGTCAAGCACTTGTGTCCCCAGTAATGACAAAATAGAGCCTGAACCTTCTTTGCCTCACAGAACACCTGTACTATCCATAAGGTGCCTGAGAAGTATCTAAGTTAAAATCATATTATCAGAGTGGACCCTAGTTCAGCGTGACTCGTAAGGGGAGATGTGGACCAGATATCTCCAGAGGGTGACCATACATGTTACAGGGAGAAGACTCTTGTGCATTTACACAGTGGAAGAGAAGGCTCTGAAGACACTAGCCCCACTAACACTGTTAGTAGAAGTCTGCTTCTCTAGAACAGTAAGAAATTGAATTGCTTTCCACTGCCTAGTTTCTGCTTCTTTGTTATGGAAAACCTAGCAAGCTAATACATGGTGGCCATAGGAAAGCAAATTCAGCATGCTAAAAGGTGGACTAAGAGGTAGAAAAGCACCTTTTAGGTTTAGAATAAAGGTTTTGAAGGACAAATGGAAAGAACAAAAAGAATGAGTATATCCGTATCCTTAATACCTATGTGAAGTTAAGATAAGCTACCATTTCTGCTCCCTTTTCCTCTTTTAACCCTGGTCATCCGAGGAGCTCAAATCTCTCAGATCCTTCCTATATCCAACCATGCTGTTCTCTGTGCGTGTGTGTCGTCTTCCCTTGGGCCGTGTCTGTGGTTTTTACACATTCCCTTTCTATAAGAATATTAGGCACACTGGGTCAGGGCTCACCCTGATACTCATTTGAACTTGACTTCCTTCATGATGACCTTACCCCCAAGAAAGGTCAAATTCTGAGGTGGTGCCTTTGCTGATTTTCTTTTTTTGAGGGGAGGTTGGGGTGGTTAATACGTAATAATAGTATGTCAATTAAAGCGGCAAAAAAGGAAGCCCTTTTCCAAAGCCTCATTTTTGAATTATTCTCTGTGTTAGCTCCCAGTTTATCTGTTCTTGATTCTGTTTGCTTTCCATTGTTCTCGGATTCAAGGAGAGTCCATTTGCATTTAAGGTTTTCCAATCTGTCATTTGCATAATTATACACCTGTGTTTACAGGTGGGATGGAAAAGAACTTCTCTGAACCCAGGTGTTCTCTTCCAATTTGTTAGCAGAGTACACTGGCATTTTGGGGTAAGATGAAGACAATATGTCAGACAAAGGCAATTAGCAGGAGCGGGAGCAGTGCAGACATCATCAGGTACTTAGCTCCTGAATCCAGAGACTATGAATTTTCTTACACAGGAATGTTTTTGGCCACTAGCTAAACAAGCAGAATTTTAAGGCCACTGGATAGAATGCTTTTTTAAAAAAAATATGAATTTCTTGTGGTACTGGTTACTACCTCTTAATAGGCAAGTGCGAAGTGCAGCTTTTTACTCCTTCCAAATAAACTTTTTCCTTTTTTTCTTTCCTTTAAGATTTGCCTACAGTGGATAACTCAGTGCTTTTGGAATTACTTAGATTGGACAGAAATATGCCATTATATTGCTACTTGTGTTGTCCTTGGTCCTGACTATCAAGTGTATGTCTGCATAGCTATTCTCAAACATCTGCAGCGAGACATTCTCCAGCACACCCAGACTCAAGATCTGCAAGTCTTTCTCAAAGTAAGTATGTCCATGTCTAAGAGGAAAAGTCGTTTAAAATTAATCACTAATTTGGGGCATTTTATTGTTGTCTTAGCCATTTTTTCCACTGCTGCAATAAGATGCCATAACCAAGACAACTTATAAAAGAAAGTATTTAATTTGGGTTCACATTTCTGGAGGGTTAGAGTCCATGATTGTCATGGCAGGGAGCATGGCAGCAGGCAGGCAGGCTTGGTGCTAGGGCAGTAGCTGAGAGCCTACATCTTTATCAACAAGCAGGAAGCAGAGAGAACTACTGGAAATGAATGATGACACACCTCCATCAACAAGGCCACACCCCCTAATCCTCCCCGAACATTTCTGCCAACTAGGGACCAGCCATCTAAATGTATGAGCCTATGCAAGTCATTCTCACTCAAACCGCCACAACTGTCAAATACTTATCTAGACTCTGACCACCAAATCAACTCTGAGTGGAAGATCTGATTGTTTTTATTTTTGAAGTGAGAAGAGTGAGGCATGGACTTAAGTCGCCTAAATTCTTTACAGTTAGAGTAGAGATGGATGCAAAGGGTTAGGTTAACCAGGGTATTGCTGCATCATATTTGATCAGTGAATCTTCAGTTTATTTTGTTAGTTCAAAAGGTTGGTACTTACAAAAAAAATTAGTGTTTCAGAATATTTTTCTAGCTTTTCCATTCTTATAAAATGTTTACATAAAATATTGTTCTTTAATAACACTCACAAGAGTAGAATATTTGATAGTATCTTTAAAAAATTGTTTACTTTCTGAATCACAGTGTAATATATTTAAAGGTTGGGAGATTAACAGGTACGAAAGGTAAATGCATTGCTATACGTAGTTCCTCTTGGAATTGCAAGAATCCAACTGTCTGTTTAATGCTGAAATCACAATTGAATTTGGCATTTTCCTGCTTTTCATCCTACCATTCATTTCACAGTCACAAAACACATTCACTTACCAAAATGTGAATGTATCTTCTACTAGGTGAAGGATTGCTTTTGTAAATTAGTTTTTTTCTTTGCTATTAGGTTTCCATTTAGTGTTATTTCTAAAATAAAGCCATTAATCACTTAAGATGGCCAGTCAATCATTTCCTGTTTAAAACATTTTGAATTCAGAATATCTTAAACTATGAACATTATTGTAATTATAATCTTAGGGTCATTATTAATGAAAATGCTTGACAGAGAAATGGTTGTACATATCTAGAAGGAACACTGAGCAGAAACCCAAATAATGAATGGTCTGAAGTGATCCAGTAAATAGGCCATTTAAACACAGGGATTAAGATGAACACAATTCGGGCTCACATGCTCAATTTGGGACATTTCTTCAGCTGTGGTGATCAGGTACTGGAATTTTAGGATATATTGTTTGTCTATACTCTTAACACCTGAATTTCCCTTAACACATAATTCTCTAAACTCCTTTGAGTTTAGTTGATTATATACATTTCTAAGACGTTTCTGTTCATCCTTTTTTTATGTTCTTATTAGCCTACTTTTTTAAAAAATTTAAATTAGAAACAAACTTGTTTTGAGTACTGGGGTTAAAGGCATATGCTGCAAGGCCTGGCTTGAAACAAGCTTGATTTAAATGTCCATCCGAGTTCCCTCTCCCTCTTCTCCTCCCCTGCCCCCCACTAACTCCCTATCCCATCCCCTTTCTTTCTGCTCCCCAGGGAGGGTGAGGCCTTCCATGGGGGATCTTCAGAGTCTGTCACATCAGTTTGGGCAGGGCCTAGGCCCTCTCCCGTGTGTCTAGGCTGAGAGAGCATCACTCTATGTACATCCTCTTCCATTTATATCTTAGCTTTCAAAGAACTGTGCTGTGGTCTACCTAGTATAGTGAAAGATTTTCAACCCTTTCTCAATAAGTGTTTGTTGCGAAAGTAAATATAAAAGGTGAGCAGACTAGCTTTATTTATATTGAGCAGCAACAATGTTTAATTTTTGAAATGTTTCCTGCTGTCACCCTCAGTGGAAGAATGTCTTTATGTCCTTGTCTGGTGAATGCTGGATCCTACTGCAGTGTCATATTTCCCTGCACAGTTGCAGTAGGGTAGCTGATCCGAACAGGGGAGAGCCCTTGGACCACAGACCGACAGCTGGGAGGCCAGCATGGGACTGATCCAGACCCCCTGAATGTGAGAGTCAGTGAGGAGGCCTGGACAACCTATGGGGTCCTGCGTAGTGGATCAGTGTTTATCCCTGGAATACTAACAGACATCATGTGTCCATAACACAAAGAGGGTTGCTCTCTCTGCCTGGACTCTTAGGGAAGTGCCTGGACCCTACCCTGAATGAAATGATAGACTCTAGATATCCCCTATGTGGAAGGAATTGGCAATAGGGTGGGAGGATGGGGGGGATGGCGGGGGGGGTGCGTGAGGAGGGGAGGGAGAGGGAACTGGGATTGACATGTAAAACAAGCTATTTAAAATTAAAAAAATCTTAAATAAAAAAAAGAAGAAAAAAGTGATGACCATTTTAAGGGTGTGCCAGATATCAATGTGTGCTGGGCACAGTGATATCAGGTTAACCTAAAGGATTTGAAATGTCGTCACAAAGGTTATCTTCTAATTCTGATTTAAGTTACTAGAATTTGAATTGAGTTGGTTAAATCCCAACTAAGAGCATGTTGGCAGGGGAAAGAAGCGGAACTAAAGCAACTTTAAAGTTTTATTTTGTGAATAAACCATATTTTATCTCTAAAAGATAATAAGGGAGCCAAGAAATGACTCAGTATGTAAAGGCACCCAAAATGCTAAGTTCAATCCCAGGAAACACAGATGGTATAAGGAGAGAACTGACTCTTAGCAATTGTCCTCTGACCTCTGCATAGGTGCTGTTGTACACATGCACCCAGAAACACACACACACACACACACACACACACACACACACACAGAGAGATGTAATTTAGTGAATAAAAGGATGATGATTCAACTGTGTAAAAATAAATAGAACAAGCATTTGACTGCTCAAAATGTAAGAGTTTCAGTTACTAAGGCACAAGTGAATTAGTGTTTAGAACCCTGAGAACCTCAGATATGTTTACTAATCCTTCAATTATTACCATCTATCCCAAGACCTCTAGAAAAGTAGATGACTCTTGAATGTTGAAAATATGTGCTTCTTTCCTCAACTTAAGTTTCTCATATTGATTGAAACTAAGAACATGGCATGACAAAGCCTTGCTAAATGAAACTGTGAAATATGTTCTATGGAGAAAATAATAGCCCATCCATATTCCTTAAAGATTAGGCTGAAAATTTTAAATCAGATCATTGAGAGTCAAGACTTCTTGCACATATCTAACAGCCCACTGGAGAGTTCTTAGTGATTCTAAGTCACTAAACTGAAAAAACAAGGAGGGGTGGCTCAGACCAGACAGTGGGGAGCACCACTAATTGTCAGTCCTAGTTCACTGTGGGAGCACTGGGGTTGGATGGTGAGTGCAGTTGAATGGAGTTGGATTTTCCAGTTCTCATTATATCACTAAGCTGTCAGAGTCAGTAAATGTCATGGATATGGACTGATAGAAGTCTGTTTTTGTTCTTGTTTTGATTTTAGCTTTTTATGTTATTTTATTTTGTTTTATAATTTATTTTTAATGAATTTTTATTTAAATTAAAAACAATCTTATTTTACATACCAATCCAAGTTCCCTCTCTTTCTTGTCTTCCCATCCCTCCTACCATCTCCCCATTCCTCCCTCCCTCTATCCATTCCTCAGGGAGAGTGAGGTCTCCAATGGGGGATCATCAAAGTCTGTCACATCATTTGGGGCAGGACCTAGGCCCTCCTCCATGTATCTAGGCTAAGAGAGTATCCCTCCATAGGGAATGGGCTCCCAAAGCCCATTTGTGTACTTTGGATAAAAACTGGTTCCACTACCAGCAGCCCCACAGACTTCCCAAGTCCCCCAACTGACACCCACATTCAGGGAGCCTGGTTCAGTCTTATGCAGGTTCCTAAGCTGTCAGAATGAAGTCTGTGAGCTCCCATTTGCTCATGTCAGCTGTTTCTGTGGGTTTCTACAGCATGGTCATGACCCCTTTGCTTATCACTCCTGTTTTTAAGACAGTGCATTACTCCTTAGTCCTGGCTAACTCAAACTGGCTATATAGACCAGGCTGGTCTTGAGCACTGGGATTAAAAGCATGCCACCACCATACCTGGCTTCTTGTTTTTCACAATATCCTTGTAGATAACAACAAAATGTGGGCTGGATAATAGAATAGTCAATTGTGTTATTGTCACACTTTAGTGGGACACCTTTTGAAGCTATGAGGAAGCACCCAAGCTTAGTTCTGAAACCCAGTGTTCCTTATATATTTATTTATTCATGTATTTATTAATTCATTATTAATTTTTATCTTTGAGAATGCTAGGGATTTCAAATATTTTTATCTGCAACAGCCACTGAAATTATGTGGCTTCTACAATTCCAGGGAGAAAAACATCTAACAAAATTAATGTTCTGAAATTTCTTAGCTAACTAGAAAATGTAGACCATTTTCTCTTTTCAGAAAATTTTGATTAGTGGACTTCTATATAATAAGAGTGTTTTAAAAAGCATATCTACACACATATATTTGTTAGAAGCCTTGTTTATAGGGTCCTGGGAGAAGATGAGTGTGCCAGGAATTGGCTGTACATGTTGTCCCACCTCACATGCTCATAGGCTAGAAAGAATTGTTAGCATTCATCTGTCCGTGCACCCTAGGGGCAAACTTCACCAAAATGCCAAGGCAAGGGGAAGACTGTCATCCATTGGAAATCAGGCTGTGAATACTCAGAATGCTTAATTGAAATTCCTCCACTGAATTCTGCATATTACAGAAAATTAATTTATAATTATGAGAAAAATCAGATTGATTTCAACCCAATCAGTAAATTGTTGAGAGGAATTTTTGTTGATGGCTGTTGCAGCTGCTGTTATTGGAACATAATGACAGAGTAAAAAATGGAGATTAGACAGAGAAAAC